GATATTAATTTGTTTTCTTCTTGTGTAATAGATTTAAAAAATATAAATACAAGTTTAACTAAAAGGTAACGATAAAACAATTTTTAATACAATGGAAAACCAACCTAGAAATAGTATACCATCACCACCATATTCTGCTGCACCTATTACTCATTCTTGGTCAAATCTCTCTCTACTATTAAATACTAACAATATCACTGAACCTTATCAACCATCTAACTCTAATGATGATGATTTATTTTTTGATTCAACCACTAGAAGTGTTAGAAGTATTCAACAAACGTATTCAAATATAGGCAGATCTTTCTCACAAGTATCTCGACGTTAAACATGCCAACCATCTACCACCTGTTTCTTATCTCACCAGCCTTCCTTCACCCCTCAAAATGAACTTACTTTCTATCCTGAATCTAGATATCATTCTAGATTACACCATACCGATTATAATCGATCAATATTTTCAGCTCAACAACCTTCTTCAAGATTATGATCACGAAAGAGATCACCAACACATGATAGATTATCTAATCAAAATCATATACATAGTCAAAGTAGTACGTATATAAAGGCTTTTTTTTTAACATTTGTTGTTGATTTTTTTTTTTTTTTTTTGGAAAAAATTTTTTTTTTTTTTTATTTATTTATTTTTATTGTATGCATTAAGTAAACTACAACCACCCTGATCGCTCTGATCATCCTGACCACCCTGGCCGCCCTGACCACCATGACCGTCATGACTACTATCAGTATTGTCAGCAAGTTGATGAGCGAATGTTCACCCAACTTAAGCATTTATATTTAATGTTCAAAAGACTTAAGGAAAGTACAAATGAAATTAAAGCCAGACTAGGTTGCCTGGAAAGGCATCAAGAAGAACAAGAGAATGATCTCTCTGTGCAAGTAATAGATGTAAGTGTTTTGGGTTAGCAACAATTTAGATCTAGTATGTTTAAGTGGTATATAGCATTTAGGATCTAGCATGTTTAAGCAGTATATAGTGTCTAGTATATAATACATATATTGTTTTTTAAAAATATATAAAGGATGTGCTTACCTGCATGGCCAAGCAGCTGTTCCTGTATAACATATATCCTAGTCAAAGTGATTTGAAGGATGCGCTTAAACAATGCCTTGAAGAAAGGTATCCTGA